GTGGAAATGTGAAAAGGGCTGGCTCCTCAACCATGTGTGGTGGCTGAGAATCCAGATGAATATTCCAGCTGCAAAGGTGCCCTCTTGGGAGTGTGGGGGGGTCTCAGTCCCTGACAGGCTCTTCAGCCCTGAGCACAAGAGCTGGGAAGAGGAGCCCACATAACATCTGGCTGTGAAGCAGTGAAGATTATGTCCGCTATAGATATGTGGGAATCTGTTAGAAACCCAGGTGCCTCTTAACGGACCAACACACGAATTCTCGTTTGCAGCCACTCACCCTGGACTCTGGTGGAGGGAAGGTGGCTCAGAGCAAGCTAGAGTCATGTGAGGAGAGACTGTGTTGTGTAACTCTGGAAAGAGAGCTGAAGGGACAAGCACCAGGGTTCCTGTGCTGACTCTCCCACACTGCCCACAAATGCCATCTTTCTTGGGTTGAGCACTACTCTCTATACAGCAGCAGCCTGGGGGAATGCAGTAGGCCCACCCTCCTGACTCCTTATTGCCCTGCCCTGCTGAGCTGAGGCTCTCCAGGTCTGGGAAGAATGAGGGACAGACTGAGTTGTGTGACTCTAGGGCAGGGTAATTTTCCCTTGTAACATCCAAACAGCGCAGAGCCCTCTCTTCACATGGCCAAATCTCAGTTTGGATTTGATAGAGTCCGCTAGCTTCATCTTGAAAACTCTCTGAAACTCCACTCCACCACAAAGGTGTGTGGGCACCTCGTGGGTGGCAGCTGGCTTTGGTGTACCCTGGTACTTTTAATGAGAGGCCTCAGACCCAGCACTGGTACTGTGTTTGACTCTGTATGAGTCTGGCAAACACTACTTGCCCCTACCTGGTGACTCACTGAGAACCTACCTTACGTAACTTGCGTATTGCCAGAGGCTCTCTCAGTGTGACTGGGCCTAACAAGCAGCTGGCAGATGGAGGCAGATAAAGGGGAATCTGAGGGTGCCTTGTGCTGTTTGCTAACCTGCTCCTGGGCTCAGTGCTGGTGGAAGCTGGTCGTGGGGCAGAGCTTGGCCCTTCCCATGCATATCCAGGCCCAGCAGAGGTATCCACAAACTGTGGATCACTTTGTAGATTGAAACGGGTTGCCCAGGACCAGTCATAGACAGCATCTGACATGGACCTACAATAGAGTCCCTCCCAAGATGCCCTAGAACAAACACAACAAGTGGCAGGCTTCAGACAACATCAGAGCAGGATGCAATTAGCTCCACAAGTGGCACATCCAAGCTATGGAAGCAACCCAAATGTCCATCAATAGATGAGTGGATAAAAAAAGCTGCAGTACATATATACAATTAAATATTGCTGGGCCATGAAAAACAGTGAAATCTTACTATTTGTGACAGCATAGATGCACCTAGAGAGTATTATGCTAAGTGAAGTCAGTCAGAGAAAGACAATTACCATATGATTTCACTTATTTGTGGAATCTAAAGAATATAAAGAAATAAGCAACAGAAACAGACTCAGATACAGAGAAGAGACTGATGGTTGCAAAAGGTGAGGGGGGTTGCAGGACTGGATGAAAAAGGTGAAGGGATTGAAAAGTAGATTGGCAGTTACAAAATAGTCACGGGGATGTAAAGTACAGCATAGGGAAAATATAGTTGATAACATTGTAATAACTATGTATGCTGCCAGGTGGATACTGAAAATATTGGGGGGAACACTTTGTAAAGTATGATTGTCTAACCACTATGCTTACACCTGAAACTAATACAAAGTAATATTGAATTACACTGTAATTGAAAAAAGAAATTTAAATTAAAAAAAATAGCAAGGAACTCTTAAACTAGTGTGAAAAAAAAATAATTAAAATCTATCACCCCTGCTAAAAAAGTGTGTTCAATAATTAAACAAAAACTTGATTTTACTTAGTAAAATTTGAAAGCATTTAAAAAATATATATTTTATGTATATTATACATATATAAATATAGTAAATGTATACTTATTAAATATATAAATTCATATATTATGTATTAAATATATAAACTATATCTAAAATATATTATATACATTTTTTATATATATATATAAAAATTCTTAGTGCAAAACTACTTTAAACAAATACCTTAGGTGTAATTTTTTTTGTAAAGTTATTTAAATATGACATACATACAGAAAAATGCTTGAATCATGTGTGCGTTTCCAAGATGAACACGCCCACGGAAGCAGGACTCCTGTGAAGAATCAGGACACCGCCAGCTCCCCGGAAGTCCCCCATATACTGCTGTCCTGTTGTTAACATCCCCTTCCCCACCCATGTGTAACTACTAACCTGACTTCAAACACCATATATTAGTTTTGTTTTTGAATTGTATATAAATGGACTCATATAGTATGTATTTTGTTTGGCTTCTCTTACTAAACATTGTGCAATTTATACATGTTGTTATGTTAACTCATTTTTATATAGTACTTCATATAATTTACTCATCCATTCCTCCAAACTACCATTAGGTAGTTCCCAGCTTGAGGCATTACAAATAGTGCTGCTATGAACATTCTGGTTTGTCTTTTGATATGTGTGTGTGTTTGTGTATGTTTATTTCTATTGTGTATAGACCCAGGAATGGGATTCCTACATCCCTAGGCATTCCTAATTCAGCTTTGTAGATACTCCCAGTATAGTCCTCCAAAGTGGTTATACAAATTAACACTCTGATCAAAAATGTATGACAGTTCTAGTTGCTCCACATCCTCACCAACACTTTGTATTCTCTGTCCTTTCCATTTTAGTCCTTTTAATGTGTATGAAATGGCATCACATTGTAATTTTAATTTGCATTTCCCTGATAACTAGAAGCTGAGCAACTTTTTCACGTTAATTGGTCATTTTGTTAGGTACCTGTTCAAGTCTTCACCCATTCATCTATTGTCTTTTTTTGACTTATAGTACTTTACATAGTCTGGATATAAGTCCTTTGTAAGATATTACTGCTTATATTCTTGTTCCTCCACTTCCATATAATTATGACTTTAAAAAGGCTATTTTAGATTCAGCTTCCTAAACTCTAGCTCAGACTGCTTCTCAGTCATACTTGTCATCTTAGAATAAGTGAGTCATCATCATACTGCCCACAACTATCTTGTCTAGCCAGTCTTTTCTCCCTACTTTTCTTCTGGTTACTTCGCCTATCTCAACATTTATTCAGCCCAACTTCTTGGTTCTGAGCGCTAAGTACATATACAAGGAAGAGATGTACAAGATTTAGTACAGAGACACTAGAAATCAGAAGGCCTGCATTCTGATATGAGGTAGCTGTGTGACACTGGGCAAATGTCTCTGGACTTCAACTTCTTGTTCTGTATTAAGGGGTTGGAATAAATGATCAAAATCCCCATTAATCTAAGAAAGTGCTTTACTTTCAGGATCATTAAATCCCGCATCTGCCTATTTAGAACCATAGTTGGTTTATGTACTCTTTGCACTTGAAAAAAAGAATCTCTTTAGAAAGGGATTCTCTTTTTAAAAATATGTCTTTTCAGCTCTGGCTGGTGTGGCTCAGTGGATTGAGTGCCGCCTGTAGATGGAAAGATTGCTGGTTCAGTTTCCAGTCGGAGCACATGCCTGGATTGTGGGCTGGGCCCCTGGTTAAGGGCCTGGGAGAGGCACCTAACCTGTTTTCTCCCACTCCCCTCAACCCCTCTCTAAAAATAAAAGTCTTAAAAAAAAGAAGTCTTTTCAAAGAGTGCCCTGATCCTTTTATATAGTGCTTCCCTATTTTGCAGAATAGCTTTTCAGTTAGTTACTGATTGAATGTCATCCCTAACCCTTACTTGTTAAGGAACCAGAAGCAGTTGCTAGTAGTGCCCTACATAAATCTCCTTGGGTGTTACTACCATCTCAGTGCACACCAGCTTGTACCCAGTTGCAGAGGGTTTTCTGTAGCCACTAGTGCCTGATCTACCTATGCATATGCTGGGTCTTGACTCTTTGTCTTTGTGGGAACAGCCTTCCATGGATGATTGGCAGGAGCTGGCAGGAGCTGGCAGTCAATGACTGATCAAAGCACTCTAGTTCCCTTGCAGCTATCCCAGGCGGGATAACTGAGTGCATGTTCTTCACCTGTGCCTAGAAATCCATGGCAGGATTATACTCAATAGTCCAAAGCACTGACCTGTTCAATAGTCAGTACTTGCTCAATAGAACACTTTTACTGGCTTCTTTCAATTCTGTGCCAATTTGCTACTACTCTACTGGTGTTTCCTAGGATCACCTCCTAAATAAACTGCCTGCCTTCAAATATCGTATTTTGCCGCGTATAAAGTGCACATTTTTGCCCAAATTTTTGAGGGAAGAATAAAGATGTGCATTATACATGGGTAGTACGTGAAATACCTTTGTATCTGTTCTTGTGTTTTGTAATTATTTGTTACATAAAATTTCTTGTACCATAATATGTTCAAAAATAAATGCTAAAATCCCTTTAAAATACAAAAAACAAAGTTATCTAAATATAAGTAAAAAATTGAATTAAAAAGTTAAAATGACAGGTTTTTTCATGAAAGTTTGGGCCAAAAACGTGGGTGTGCATTATACACAGCAATTACAGTAATTACTGTCTCAGAGTCAACACATGGGGGAACTCAAGACAAGGCGAGGTGGTCCTTAGAACAACTTTGGCAGCATTTTATCACACTGCACTTGGGGAAGCTGGTTCTCTTCTTTGTGCTTATGTTGTAGCAATACATAAAAACTAAGATACTAGGATACTACCAAATGGATTAAATATAACCCAAACATTCTATAATAAGCTTTCCCATGAATTTTTAAATATTTCTCTACATAAACTTGGCCTTCAATAGTAATAGAATTGTTCGTTTCACACTGCTTCCTTACTTCCTTGGAAATTGTTAAAAAATACATGTAAAGAAGAATAAATGTTCCAAGTAACACGTTGCTACATTGAATCATAAGTAATTAGGCTTGCAAAATTATGAATTACAAGGCTTTTAATTCATTTACCAAAACCACAAGTGAGTACCACTGATATCCTTTCATTTATAAGTGTATTTTTACAAATCATTTACTTCTTCAATTTAAAATAATATTCAGAATGGCATGGGATGCTGTGTATTACATTTCCAAATCACAGTGTATGTGATTATAGAACTTTGTGCAGTCTACAGTGAGGGTCCCGATTCAATTTCATGGTCTTAAATAACAATCTGTAAAGAAAGGGAGAAATAAAAAATTTGAAAATCGTACTGAAAACCTCAAGTCAAAATACAACAAGGTGGCATGTTTTCTAGCAGATCTTGACCCATACACACACACAAATAAAATAATGTTAATTTAAATCCACATTTTATTCTTTCATAGATTTTAACAATTATACACAACTTTTCACATAAAGAGAATGAAATTTCCAGGATGGGGGGGGGGAGAGAGAGAGAGAGAGAGAGAGAGACACACACACACACACACACACACACACACACACACACACACAGTCCCTCCTATTCATTTTTTAGGGTGGAAGGAAATTTCCAAAGGGTACAATGTGAGACTTAGCACTGGAAAAATACACATGAAACTTATTTAACTGGATTCACTTAGGACCAGGTGAAGCACAATAAATATAGAGTTGCATCTTTTTTATAAGACTTGAAATTTTAACACTTTCTTACTGAAGAAATATGATCAGTGACCAATCTGAAATTCTACAACATATAAGTGAAGGGAACTTAAAATGAACATCTGAGCATACTTTCTCTAGCATTTTCACATCCATACATCAACATTCCGAAAAAGGAGTAAGAATGTATACTGCAAATTCAGAACTACAGAAAAACTATTCCAACTTTTCCATCATATCATTCATTCCCACCACCATCTTAGTTTGCTGGTAAGTTTAAGGTACAAATAGAAAGTTTTTCAAATTCTTTTAATATCTACTGGCCTTAGGGCCTCTGGTAGGAAGCCACATTGGATGCAAACTGATTAAGCAGCATCATTAAGTCCACATCTCTACAAAGCACTGCAAAATTTCTATCTTCCAGTATTCTGAAAGGTTACAAAAAGTGTGGAAGAACATCTCTCTGAGGAGCAGGCCACTGTACGAACATGCAATTTGCAAGGATTTAAATAAACTATAACTGAATTCTCTACTGACCTCATCTTAGATCCTTAACAGACCAAAAGAAATACATTCCCTAAAAATTTAACATATTAAGGCATAAAATAAATACTTTACTTATGCTATTACATTTGGGTATTTGAGATTGCTGGCATGCTCACATGCCTTTTCCTCTTCCCAAAGAGGAAGCAATGGTGCCAGCACTTAATGGTCAGAAAGAGAAAATGGGAAACTGTTGCTCTCACAGCTGTTCTGTGGTGTGCCTTATTGTACAATACAAACACAGAAACTATTAGTTTAAAACATAAACTTAAAAGACAGGATGAAATGATCTTTTTTCACATGACCCAGATTCTGCTATCAGCAGATACCAGTATTAATTTCATCCCTATTAAACCGAATGGAAACCATTATGCTTCTATGGCTACAGTATTCTGAGAACTTTTTTGAGCTGATGAATCAAAACCCACATGAAAGAAAATATTACTTTCTATAATTGGTAAACTGGTTGTTCAAAAACTCAATAGGCAAACAAATATACAAACATGTGACACATCATTATCTTGTAAAAATATAATGCCACTCTGGTCCCAAGAATCACTATAGCCCAGCTGGTCCTTAAATGTGCAAACAGCCTTTAACTACTACTAAATATCTTCTTTGTGACATTTTACAGCTCACCATACTGCCACATGATTCTTAGAAGCTTAGGCTTCTGAGATGTTTGAGAAAAGGAATTTCCTAGTAATGCAGAATAGTCCTTGCTACTGAATTTTTCCTGAAACAAAATAAGCTTTAACAAAATAATGTTAATCTAAATATGACCTGTGGCTCCTTTTCCACTGGGTTAGAGGGTGCTGATTCGTATATTGTACTGAGCCCCACAAATGCCTGTTTTAAAAACAGTACAGTTCCCAACAGTTTCCCATAAATATTCCTTATTTATACTGGGGAAGCAATGCCGAGTTGGGACATTAATCATTCATGTTTTTTAAAAAGCAAATATTTCCTGTAGCAAAGCAGTTACTTAGCAAAATGCTAAGTTGCAAATAACTTTGCCATGTAGATAGATATCAAGTCATTTCACAAAGTACCTGTCAAAATGTATAGAAATCTGGCCTTGCATCCCAAATCCACTGCAAAGAGAACACATGCAGTAGTCTTGTTTACAATTTAATGGAGACTAGGAAAGGGTAAACCTAGGACAAGGAGGGATGTCACCCTACACACAAGTTTACAGCAGAGCAGTTAGTGTATATCGTATCTACTACATTTACCACTTCAGAGAAAAGATCAGGAAGTCCTTCAAACACCGGAACAAAGGAATGTTCGTTTTATATATGACCTACCAAATAAACAGGGGAAAAAATGATAACAACACTTAGGCACTAGTCTCAAAGCCGCCCAATAAAGAAGCAAAGGATTTGAGATGGGAAGTTTAGGAAAATATACACATGAGAGCCTGCACATATTAGATCACAGTTCTAATCTTCAAGGCTACGGAATGCATTCTGCATGTCTTCAAGAAGTTGCGCATAGTCGGCCTTGATCTTTGCCTCACCATCTTTCACTGGATCCTGAAAAAAAAATTACAGAATTCAACTTACCTTTGGAAAATAACTTTCAGAACATGTAAGTTACTTATATATAATATATTTTGAATCCTAGGTTAATTGAGGTACACTGGTTCCTTTAAGGGTAGAAAGGTGTCAATGGAATAACACCCCGACCAAACAAAAAGAAAAAATTTCACTTATGTGTTTTGCCTGCTAACTGCATTCAATGACCAACGGATTTATCCTCAACAATATGCAAAATATTGGGAAATTATACAGCACTACATTATTAGATGCTTGTCACTGCATGTATATGAGTATGATTAGAATTTACTATTCAATGTCTGATAGTATCACATTGAGATAGGGGAGTAAAATTTCTAAAACAATCTTAAAATGCACAACATTTAAAATCCCTATGCAAAAGCAACTTAAATGAGTAACATATAAAAGAGACGTTAAAATATTAAAGCTCACAATCATTCCACTTCTGAGAATGTATACTAGGAAAGGTCACAAAACCAACTACATAAACAAAACTGTCCATACCACCACCGGAAATTTCCTAAGTGCCTAAGAATAAGAAAATATCACTCTCCACCAATAAAATAATGCAACAGATGAAATTTAATGACATTAAAAAGCAACTGTGATGTTAATTTTATATCATGTGCATGTAAATAGAAAACAGCTATCTTTAATCACAATACCACATCACTATTATTACATATATTTTTATCCTGTTCTTATAAATATTTAATTTTTGAAAAAATCTGAATCAATTACATATAGAATTTATTTGCAACCTGGTTTTTTCCCCTCATTATACCATAAGTACTTCCCCATGTATTTCAATATTCCTTGGAAAAAAAAATGCTTTCATAATAATCTTGTCATAATGCACATGTAATGTACTGTTCACTCTTGGGTGACATTTAGGAAGTTTAATAAACAACATTATATATATAGATATATATCTATATTATATATAGAGATAATATTATATTATATATAGATAGATATATAGATATCTATCTATCTCCACACGAAAATCTGATTATTTCCTTGGGCTGTATGCTTTGAAGCAGAATGACAGGACTCGAGTATGGCAATTAAAAATTTTTTTAAACATATATTTTATTGATTATGCTATTACAGTTGTCCCATTTTTCCTCCCCTTTATCCCCCTCTGCCCTGCACCACCCCCTTCCCACTAGCATTTTCCCCCAGTTCATGTACATGGGTCATACACATAAGTTCTTTGGCTTCTCCATTTCCTATACTATTCTTAACGTCCCCCTATTTTGTACCTACCATTTATGCTTCTTATTCCCTGCACCTTCCCCGCATTCTCCCCCCACCCCCTCCCCGCTGATAACCCTCCATGAGATCTCCATTTCTGTGATTGCTTCCTGTTCTAGGTGTTTGTTTGTTTGTTTATTTATTTAATAAATAGGTTCAGTTATAATAGCTGTGAGTTTGTTACCATTTTACTGTTTATATTTTTGATCATCATCTTTTTCTTGGATAAGTCCTTTTAACATTTCATATAATAAGGGCTTGGTGATGATGAACTCCTTTAACTTGACCTTATCTGGGAAGCACTTTCTCTGCCCTTTGATTCTAAATGATAGCAGTGATTACCCATTGTACAGGTTTACTTACAACCTATAGTTCAAACAACCATATATATCTATCTATCATACACACACACACATGGTGATAGATATACTGATAAATATACAACATACATTCACATAACCATTCTAAATTTCTCAATAGGTAATTAGCACATATACTTGGATATTACGACTTAGAAATAAATATAATTCAACTGATAAAATGTTTAAAAACAAACTTACATATTTGAGTTTCTACTGATAATTTAATCATCTACTAATGTCAGTGTACTTTCAAAAAATTACAGCCCACTTAAAGGTTAAAGATATTATGGAACAGGATACTTAAAAAGAGTAAACAGCAGAAGGCATTTCAGATGAGCATAGGGTTTGGATGTTAACAGGCAGCTGAGGTAAGGTAACTGCTGTTTTTAGCAGTTGATTTTATCAGTTTAATGCTAAAATCATTGCTGTTTTTAGCATTAAACTGCCTGGCAGTTAAAACAAAAGGGAAAATATATCAGCATTTATTTTAGACATGACATACTATAACTTTTGTTACAAGAATTCCCATTTGAACATAACTTTGAGATCTGTCCTGGTTTTACATAACCTGAGCACATGTGAAAATGCAAAAGGCATGTGTCACACTCCAGGTTCAGTACTCAAATAGATAAAAAATTAAAAAGAAACATTTCCTACTAAAATAAGTTACAGCAGAAATTACTATACCTTAAATTTCATGGAGGAAAGTTTATAGAGGATCTCCCCCATGTGCTCACGGATAATGGACCATGTGATTTTATTGTCACTCTGGGCAGTGGTCTCAACAGCTCTGCGAGCCATATCATAAAACGCAATCATGTTGGACAGCATCCCTACTGTCTTGTAGAATGGGCAGAACCTAGAGTTAAAAAAGCCAAAATAATTAACAAAATCCAGAGCAGGTTCATACTTTATATAAAACTTTATAAAATGTGAGAGCATTAGCTTCTATTTAAATATGAAGACTACTTATATATTTTGGATGATTATATAAAGAATGAATGGTAGATGGAGAAATATATTCTTTTTTTATATTAAGGGTGATGTTTATGTTTCAGGAACAATGAAACAGTACTGTTATAATCTATTTTCTCTGAGGACTTACTTTTGTACATGACGTTAAAGGAGTAACCCAAATGGTAAAATATTGATAACTGAGTGTAAAGATTCCATTGTGATATAGCATGTTAAGATATAATGACTAAGAGAATAGGGGATAGCAATTTCCTGAAGTTAACAGTAAGTAAGCCCTTTTCTACATTGAGTTCATTTTCATCTACCCATATCTTTTAATAATGAAGACTGGCAAACAAAAATTCAACTATATTCATACACATTCTTGCCAACTTTCATTTAACACATTTGCATATACAATTTTATGCATACTCTTATCACACTCTTTCCAAAGAATTTTCCCCTTGTTGAGTTATGTTTGGATAGTTGCTAGAGCTTCTTAAGTTTCCAATATAGCTTTTTGAGGCTTACTGATTATACTGTCTTATTTTCTGCTTGTCCTACATGTTGGAAATTCTTCTATTTGTTCAGTTTCCTCTTCAGTCTTATATAAGGTCAAATATGATTCGGGGGGGAAAAGATAGCCTGTAGGGAATGGGCCAATTTATTAAAGATTTAAAGAAATGGAAACACTTAATAAGCCATGTTAATAGCAGAAACAAAAATTAAAAAAGCAAGCACTGAGCAGGAGTAGCAGGGGCTGGAGGGCATCTATCAGGGACTTTGGTAGAAAGATAATAGACTTGTGTGAAATAAGGCAGGAAAGTAAAATGCTATTTAGGAAAAAAGTAGAGGAGGCAAAGGACGTGCTAAGATGTAGTGAGAAAAGTTCCTGAGGGAGACAATGACTCCCCACCCAGGCCCTGCACACTAAGCCACAATCTAATTAAAGATGGTTGTATAATGAGTTTTTTGCTTATTTGTCATAGCTGGAAAAATACAGCAAAATCAAGATGAAAGGACATACTAGATTGTGACATGTCTGCTATAAAAATAAAAATGGTTTTAAATGTAGGCAGTGCCTTTTACAAAACTTGATAGAAAATTCTCAAATTAAAAAGGATAGCAGTGTTTCTAGCCAAGATGGTGGAGTAGGTAAATGTGGTACATCCTGCCATAACCACATCACAGTTACAGCTAAACTACAGAACAATCATTATTCAGAACCACCTGAAATCTAGCTGAATGGGAAGTCCTACAACTAAGGATCTAAAGAAGCCATGCAGAGAATGGTGGGAGGGGCATATACACCACATTGTGTGGGATAAAAATTGGAGGGATATTTCTGGTGCGGAGGGCCTCTCAGAAGAGCAAGGGGTCCCAGCTCCACGCCAGGACCCCCAGGCAAGGGTTCCTGTTCTGAAAAGAGAAGTTCCCATAATTGTTGGCTGTGAAAATCAGCAGGGATTCTGACTGAGGGAGAGAGAGGGTTCCTGGAATCCCCGGCATTTCTCTTAAAGGGCCTGCACACAGACTTACTCGGATTCACCTGCTCTGAGCTCCAGCACTGGGACAGCAGTTTGAAAGATGCCTGGGACATACGGGAAGGAACTGAATTGTCTGGATTCAGGGTGAGGGCTGGAGGGGCAGCTTTCTCCTAAAAAGAAGTGCTGGCAGTGGCCACTGTGGCCCTGCTAAGCCCTTTCCCCACAGAGCTGGCAAGTGGGTGCCAAAACTGAGCCTCCATCAACCTGGCTTGTGCTCTTCACCCAACTTAGTGATTCCCTAACACCCTAACCCACCCAACTTGCGGGTCTACCCACCCACCTTCAGTGGCTTTTCCATACAAATGGTCTGTCTTGGCTCATGTCACAATCTCAGCAAGATCTTTCAAATGTTCACAAATCCCAAACAACTAGTATCTAGCCTCAGCGTGTCCATATTTCTTACTTAGTGGCTCCAGGCCTGGCATTAGCAGCAGCCAGCCTGGGTTCCCAGCTTGGCCTCTCCCAGGCACCTCCAAGCTCAGCACAGGTAGCAGCCATCTGCAGATCACTTTTTAGCTCCTGCCAGGTAGCCTTGGGCAGGAAACAGGTAGCAGCTGAACTTAGCCTGCATCTGCCAGGAGGCCCCAGAGCCAGCACACCCAGCAAACAGCTTCAGACTACACTGGAGCACCAGCCAATCACTTCCATGTGCTACACACTCAAGGGGCAAACGCATCAGGGGCCAGAGCCCTGCTGAAATGATTCCTGCTCCATGGGGTGAGATGATGCAGTAGCTCCTCTGCTGTAATCACAGCCAGTCATCCTGGACAATAGGCCTGGGAGTAAATTTCTCCCACTGATATGCCAAGAGCAATCAAGACTCAACTGCAACAGAAGGGTGCACACAGTCCACATGGGGCTGCACCTGAAGTGCACAGCTCGGGTGAATGAGAAGGCTGCATCACTGGGCCTCACAGGACACCTACTACATAAGGTCACTCTACCAAGACTCGGAGATGTAGCAGCGTTATCTAATAGAGAAACAAACACAGAGAGGCAGCCAAAATGAGGAGACAATGAAACATGTCCCAAATCAAAGAACAGAACTAAACTCCAGGAAAAAACTAAACAAAATGGAGACAATCTACCAGACACAGAGTTCAAAACACTGGTTATAAGGATGCTCAACGAACTTAGAACTTCAACAAAGAGATAGAAAACATAAGAAAGAACCAGTAAGAAATGAAGAATGCACTAACTGAAATGAAGAATACATTACAGGGAATCAATAGAGTACATGAAGCAAAGGAACAAATCAGTGATTTGAAAAGCAGAAAGCATCCAATCATAAAAGCAAAAAGAACAAAGAATCCAAAGAATTGAGGATAGTTTAAGGAGCCTCTGGGGTAACTTTAAGCATACCAACATTCACATCATTGGGGCTGGAAGAAGGGAGGGAGTGAGGAATTGAAAAGCTATTAAAATAATAATGATAGAAAACTTCCCTAACCTGGTGAAGGATAGAGACATACAAGTCCAAGAAGCAGAGGGTCCCAAACAAGAGGAACCCAAAAAAGCCCATTCCAAGACACATTATGATTAAAATGCCAAATGGTAAAGACAGATAGAATCTTAAAAGCACTAAGAAAAAAGCAGTTAGTTATCCTCAAGAACTCTCCCATAAGACTATCAGCTGACTTCTCAACAGAAACTTTGCAGGCCAGGACTGGCACAAAATATTCAAAGTGATAAAAAGCAAGGACCTACAATCAAAATTATTCTATCAAGTAAATTTATCATTTAGAATCAAAAGACAGATAAAGAGTTTCCCAGACAAGAAAAAGTTAATGGAGTTCATTACCACCAAACCAGTATTACAAGAAATGTTAAAGGGTCTTTTTTAAGAAGAAAAAAAGATTAAAAATATAAATAATAAAATGGCAATAAATACTTATCAATCAGCAAATACTTTAAATGCAAACAGATCAAATGCTCTAATCAAAAGACATACAGTGGCTGAGTGGATAACCAAACAAGACCCTTACATATACTGTCTACATGAGACTCACTTCAGATTGAAAGACACACACACACACACACTGAAAGGAAACAGACAGAAAAAAAATTTCATGAAAATAAAAATGAGAAAAAAAAATGGGGGTAGCAATACTCTAACAGACAAAATAGACTTTAAAACAAAGGACAGCCCTGGCTGATGTGGCTCAGTGGACTGAAGGCTGGCCTGCAAACCAAAGGGTCGCCAGTTCGATTCCCTGTCAACACACATGCCTGGATTGTGGGACAAGTCCCCAGTATGGGGTGCATGTGATGCAAACATACACTGATATTTCTCTCCCTCACTTTCTCCCTCTCTTCCCCTCTCTAAAAATAAATAAATAGAATCATAAATAAATAGAATCTTCAAAAACCGACAAAAACAAAAAAAACCAAAGCCTATAACAAGAGACAACAAAGGACCCAGCAATTGACACTAAGTTTAAAAGATATATGAGTATATTCATATGTTCACTGCAGCATTATTTACAATAGCCATATGAAACAACCTAACTGTCCATCAATAGATGGATGAATAAACAGGATGTGGCTAATATACAATGGAATATGACAGCCATAAAAAAAGAATGAAATCCCATTTGAAACAACAAGAATGAACCTAGAGGGTATTGTGCTGAATGAAGTAAGTCAGACAGAGAAAGACAAATGTCACATGATTTCACTAAAAAACAAAATAAACAAACAACAGACTCAGATACAGAGAACATTTTAAAGGTTGCCAGATGGGAGGGAGGGGGTTGGGTGGAAAAGGTGAAGAGATTAAGAAGTACAACAAGATCAGTAGCACAGAACAGTCACGGTGATGTAAATCAATTGGGACTATAGTCAAGTAATATTATAATAATTATGTATGGTGTCAGATGGGTACTAGAATTATCAAGGTGATCACTTTGTAAGTGATATAAAAGTCTGATCACTGGGTTGTACATCTGAAGCTAATATAGCATTGTACATCAACTGTAATTGAAAAACAAAACATTATTAAAAAGAGAAAGAAAAAAAAGGAATAGCAGGATAGGTTACCTGTCATAAGGAGTATATCCATTTTGCTGTAGGAAATCATCTTTGATAAGTTTAGCTACCTCCAGAGTGATTTTATCTGTTTCTGCTAGAGAAGCCTAGAAGAGAAAAATTACATAATTTTAGAAATTTATTTCCACAATGTGAGACCATGGTTGTAATCCACAAGGAAGCAGAAACTAACACCACAGCCACCTACCATTTATAAATTCACTTCACAACTACTTTTTGATTGATGTTCTTTTTTATTGTGGTAAGAAAAATAAAGTAAAATTTATCATCTTAACCATTTTTAAGTGTAGTTCAGTAGTGTTCAGTATATTCACATTGCTGTGAAACAGATTTTCATAATTTTTTGTCTTGCAAATCTGAAACTCTATACTCATTCAACAACTCCCTTTTCCATCCACCTCCCAGCCTCTTCTTTCTATGAATTTTACTACTTTAGATACCTTATATAAATGGAATCATATTGTATTTTTCTTTTTGTGACAAATACTTGTGCACAAACAAGGGGGTGTATATACATATTCAGTGACCGAAAGTTACCTTAAAGGGTGATCTGAGCATAGATTTCTAACTGGGAAGGTCATGGTGGGTGAATCCAACCCTCCTTAGCCTTAGTGCTCCTGAAAACATGTTATTTTAATAGACCTACCTCTACCCGCTCTAATTTGATTGGAGACAGGTACATTCTACTTAGAGAAATAAAAATAAGTCTAGAGTTTCTTTCTCATGTACAATAAAACCAGGACCATATTAAGTGCTACAAATGATTGAAAAAATACAAAGGCCATATTTAGTTACTTCTTTTAACTGACCATTCTGGAGTAAAGGCCCTTCCTTTTCAATGTGGGCAAGCTCTGTAACTGCTCTGACCAAAACAATTAAGACAGAAATGATGTGACACTAGTTTTGGGACCCTGGCTTAAGAAGTTTGTGGTTTCCACTTTCTTTCTTCCTTCCTTTATAACCCACTTTGATAGCCCTGAACTGCTATGGGGACATGCCACATAGAGACCAAAATGCCCAGCCAACACTTACCTGGTTCCAGCCATCCCAGCCCAGGCACCAGACATGTGAGGGAAGAAATTTTCAAATAACGCTAGTCTAAGCCATTATATGACTGCAACCGTATGTGGATCCTAAACAAGAATGCCCAACTGAACCCATCTCCCAGCCTCTTCTATGAATTTCACTACTTTAGATACCTTATGTAAATGGAATCAGACAGTATACTTCTTTTTGTGACAAATATTTGTGGACCAACAAGGGGGAGCAATAAACCAAAACCATGAGCAATAAAACACTTTTAAGCCACTAAGTGTCACAGTGATTTGCTACTCATTAATAGAAAATAAAAATAATCACCTTTTACTTTTCACAATACATGTAGGTCTCTCAAATATCTGCTAGATAAAGGAATAATTTATAGTCCTATTATTTTAAAAATATTTAATAAATGCTCATTTTGCTAGGCAGAATCTGCATATCTACGGTTCTATCTGTCCTCACGGCACTCCAGTGGGATTTTACAACTCACCTTTCCCACAAGCTGTACAATTTCTGCCAGATCTTCCTCTTCCTGCAGAATCTCTTTAGCTTTGGTTCTCAGAGGAACAAACTCTGTGAAGTGTTTATCATAGTACTCATCCAAGGCACGCATATACTTGCTGTAGCTGATTAGCCAGTTGACAGAGGGAAAATGCTTACGTTGAGCTAATTTCTTATCTAAGCCCCAGAACACCTGATTCAAAAACAAAACAAATGAAAACCCAGTAATTTTTCTTACAAAATAAAAATTAAAAAGTACTGAGGTGTATTTTAGTGTCTGAAATATGTTATTCTATATATTTTTTGATCAAATAATGTACCCTTTCAGTGCATGCAAATATAATTGAAATAGAATAAAACTTGCAATTAAAAAAATACATTCCTTTCAATTCAGAATGGGTAGTATCTACACATCAAATTCAAAATTTATCTGAATTTCCTTAATAGTATGTCAAGTCAGACACCAAAAAGAAAAACTGATTGACTGTTTTAAAGATTATTATGGTGCAATATAAACAGATGAACCAAAAAATGCCTACTGAGATAGAAGAAACACTTCACTTTGATTAAAAAAACTTCTAAATGTTCAGTTGCTGGTTCAATTCCCAGTCAGGGCACATGCCTGGGTTACTGGCCAGATCCCCAGCTGGGGCTGTGAGAGAGGCAACAGGTGGATTCTCTTCCACACCAATGTTTCTTTCCCTCTTTCTCCCTCCCTGCCTCTTTGAAAATAAATAAATACTTTTTTTTTTAAACCCTCTAAATGTTCTGATTAATGCAGTTTCCTATCACAGAGGGCCAATCCAGTGAGACCTGACAGTTATTTTTCTGAGGCCGAACATTCACATGCATTTTATATATCCCTAACTTTGCTCCCCTTTTCCCTACAATTTAAAACTCAAATATTTAGCCAAAGTAAAAAACCATGAGAGTTGTAAATGTAGCCTCTGCCATTTCCTTTAATATAATACTGACAGAAAAATAAGCAAGTATTTTATTTTTCCCACATGAATAATACATATACTTATGAATACATCTCCTTTTTTTTTTTTTCTTACTATATCCCTATTTGTATATATTTTTCAATTAGGCTTCTTTAAATGGCAAAGTTGGCTAACTATCTACTAACATTTAAGCCTTGTCACTGGGAAGCAGCTGACTAGGCAGAAACAACATTTCTCCAGCTTCGCTTTCATCTGGTTTAGTTAATAGGATGAATGGAGTACTGGGTCTGAGCCAAAGGTTCCGAGAGCAGATGTGCCTTCTCCAGTTTCCCTTTGTGCCAGCCAGATGCAGATGATTACCAAGCTAGGAGACAGCAAAGCCACCAAAAGGAAGGAGCCATAAATTACTACTGAATGGAAAAGAGCTGCCTTCTGATAGGATCACCTATGCCTTGGACCATACCATGAGGAGAAAAAAACTTATTGAGGTTTTGCCATTACACATTTTTGGGCCCATTTGTTTTTATAACTAGGATTACTCTACTTAAAGGGTAGCATCATTCACATCAATAAAATTTTGCTACTCTGAATATATTTCCCACTTACAGATACTGTTTATAATAAATTCTAGGTAAAGAGCTAAGAAAGAACAGACAGCAGTAAAGGCTCCCAGTGATAAGAACGTTACTAAAACAAAATATACCATTGCTTACTCTTAAATTAAATACTTTATGATGATTTGGATAACATTAGAACAGCCCGTAGGAGTAGGGGAAGGGGAGGAGCTCAGAGGTTGACAACACTAGAAAAGATGTACCTGAACAATACCAAGAGTAGCAGATGTAACTGGGTCAGAAAAATCACCACCAGGTGGAGAAACTCTAAATTTAAAAGAACAAAATAGTCATTAGAGATATTTAAAAAAAAAGAAATGGTTATGAAAAATAACTTGTACATGAAAGTCAATTTTATTGTAAATGACTTTTTTTAAAATAAAAATAACTTCAGTAATGACCTTTGAAAGAAAATCTTATATAGAAATCTTCAATAGAAACCAGTACTAATGTACAATAACAATTGAACACCCTCTAGTATGAGAAATGAGACATATTAATTATAAGCAGTTTCATTATGCTAAACAGATACTTGAAGTAGGAAGGAAAAGCTCTTGAGAAGAATGGCTTTATGTAGTGATTATGAATCTGCAGTTTTTTTTCATGATATAATTTTACCTTCACATGTATATAACTTTCTACATCGTTCCCAGGATATTGTGACTTAAAATGTAATAAATCACTCAAGTTACATTTTTGGAACCAGAACATATAGAGATGACCTAAAGAGCTGTGCGGGCGACTCTGGAGTGCAACCTGGGTAAGAATCACTGCCCTGGGAGGGGGCTAAATAGCTTTCTCCTTAAACTAAAAGACTCTTTTTTCCTTTGAAAAAGTAAACAATTAGGTGCTTACGCTCCTACAATGCTGACACTCCCTTCTCTTTCAGGATTTCCAAGACATTTCACCCTGCCTGCTCGCTCATAGAAAGAGGCCAGACGGGCACCAAGATATGCAGGATATCCACTATCTGAAAAATGAAAAAAAATTTAAAGAGAGAGGTTCTAGGGCAGCCCCCCAAAACCTATCAGTTTTGCTTAAATAATAAGTAATACAAAGACTTACCTGCAGGCATTTCGGCTAAGCGGCCAGAAATTTCTCTAAGGGCTTCAGCCCATCTAGAGGTAGAGTCAGCCATCATACTGACGTTATAACCCATGTCACGGAAATATTCTGACAGTGTAATTCCTAAATTGGGAAGAAAATTACAAGTAATAATACTATAATGTATAATCCTGGCATTTTTATGCTTGAGAAAACTTTAAAGCACTAAGTACATGAGATAGAATGCTCTTTTACCAAAATCTGTTCCTCTTTTGGCCACACAGCTGAATTATATTTCCTAGCCTCCTTTGCATTTAGATATCACCATGTAACTGACCTATAGTTAATGGAGTATAAGTCAAAGTAATATGTTCCACTGCTAGGCAAGCCACACAACCTTCCATGTTCCTTCTTCCTCTGGCTTACTGAGAGGGAGAGAGCTCCTAGGAGCTCTGGAAGGCATGTGCTGCAATGAAAGTGTTCTTTTCAAGAAGGTGAAGAGATTAGTCAAAGAGCATACATGAAGGACCCATGGATATAGACAATAGTGTGGGGATTGACTGTGGAAGTGGGGGCAGGCTGGTGGAGGGGGCAAAGAGGGTAAAATGGAACAACTGTAATAGCATAAACAATTAAAAAAAAAAGTTCTTTTCCGCCTAGATCCCAGCCCAGAATGGCAGCATAAAGAGTCCCCTGACCATTTTAAATAGACACCTATTATATTGAGTAATTATATTTGGGTTTATTTGTTGCCATAGCCTAGTTTACCTTAATGTAATATACATTTTAAAAATCAGAAAAAGGCTTTTTTCTCTATTCTTATCCCTATTAATAGAATTAAGTTTGAAATTAATTTCCAATATAGCTTTTGTCTATAGATCACACACTTAGGTACTCAAAACCCTTAACTAATTAGCTTGTTTGGTTATTTTTCAAAAGTAGCTTATGTTATTTACATGGGTAATGTCTTAATCATTCAGATCGTTCTGCTATGCAGATCAGGTCCTATCCTGTAAATCAGAGGTTCCCAACCTCCCTCTTCCTGTCCATGGACACCCTCAAATTACGGCTTGAGCTCCACCTTCTGCCCCGCTCCCCCACATCTGTGGAAAAATTGTCTTCCACAAAACTGGTCCCTGGTGCCAAAAAGGTTGGGGACAGCTGCTATAAACCACTTAGAAGATGCTAATATACAGAAAGAAGTCCTGGATTCTAGTTCCTGTTCTGTCATTATCCTAGCAAAGTGACTTCATTTCCCAGTGTAGTTTCTTAATATGTTAAAATGGAAAAACCCTTACTCTATCTACCTGTATACATCAGATTAAATGATACACATAAATGCCCTCTGAAAAGCACAAAGAACTGTGCAACTCTAAGATATTAGAAATGTATAGTTGTTGCTACATTATAAGAGTCTCAAAATCTATGTCTGTAATTTCTTTATTTTACCAGCAAAGAAACAAAGGCTTATATTAGGTAAAACAAAATAGGTGCTGGAAAATTCAGCACTTAACTATTTATCATAATACTTATTTCAGAATTAAAAAAATACTAATTTCTGAGGATTCAAAAAAATGGTTCCATGAACAAAGTCTTTAAGAAGTATTAATTTAAGAACACAATAATTATTACATATTTCAATCTGATGATAGGATCAGATCCTCTCTTATACAAGCATGGCTGTTTTTAAGTTTCTATGATGACATTCACTAATACTTCAGTGTATATATTAGAAAGACTTGGTAGTAGAGACAGATACACATGAGTAAACCTCAAAGAAGTTTCATTGACCGAAATAAAGATCAGCGCCTATGGGGCGGGGGGAGGAACTCAGACAAAACAAAAGATGAATAAACTGGAAAAACATCTGCAACTCATGAGAGATAAAAGACTTATTTTAAAGAGCTTATTTCATACAAATCAGTATGAAAAACAACTACCATCCAAAAGTTAAATAGACAGAAGGCAGTTTTCAAATGATTAATATACACAGGAATGACGATAGCTCACTGTTAAGGAAAAAAAGACTAACCAGGCATCTAATAAAGGAGGAATAGTAATAGGTTGATCGTTAAATCTAGGTGCTGGATACATGGGTATTCATAGTAATATTCTTTCAACTTTTCTATGGGTTTGATAACTTTCATAAGAAAGCACTGTAAAACCAGCATTGGTAAAGATGTGGAGAAAGAGACCTCTTCTCCATAGTTATTCCTTTTGAAGGGCTATCAGAATCTAAAATCTACATTAACAGCTGTACTTTTAACAGTTTTGCTCCTAGGAGCTCATCTTACAAAAAAATATACCAAAACTGTACAAACAAAACATGCAAAGGAAAAGCGCAAAAAATATGCATAAAAATGTTTTAGTGAGACCATTTAAGGTCTTGCTTCCTGGCGTTGTCATCAATTTGGCTCAAGAAAATCTTACTAAAAAAATGTTTTAGCAATGTGAACTGTGTCATAGCAAAAAAACAAAACAAAAAGAAACAAAAAAGACCAATAATCCAAGAATCCACCAAGAGGATGCCAGTTAAATAGAGTATGATATATCCATACAAAGGGACACTATGAAGCCATGTATAGACTTACTGTCTTAAAATAATAGATAAATGTTACTTTCTCTTTTTTCTCATAAAAGTAACCACTAAACAAGGAGAACAGGAAATAGAGAAAAACAAATTTCATCATCAAAAACTAGGGGTAATATTTAACTCCAGAACAAAATAATGAGAAAAGCCACCCAAATGAAGTAAAAAACAAACAAGGGTATGGGAAGACACACAAAAAAATTCATCTGAGGCTGCACATCTCAAATTAAGCTTCTAGAAGCTAGGAGACACCTCCTCAGGGGAAAAACCAAGAGCCCTTTGTTTGGGATTCTGCAAAAGATATTCAGCGGTAGTGGCAGGACTTTTTGGACCCAGCAAGGGTGTCCAACCGGTGGCCTATGGGCTGCAAGAGGTCCAGGATGGCTATGAATGAGGCCCAACACAAAATCGTAAATTTACTTAAAACATGATGAGATTTTTTTGTGATTATGTGTCACAATGTATTTAATGTGTGGCCCAAGAAAACTCCCTCTTCTGCCAGTGTGGCCCAGAGATGCCAGAAGGTTGGACAGCCCTGCCAGTATGGAGTCAAGGAGAACAAGAAAGTGGGGACAAATAAAACATAGGTAGGCACCCCTACTTTCCAGTAAGTGGGTATGAGGCAGGTTGGAAGAGAAAGGAATAATTATAAGTGACCTTACAGCTACAAATTTTGACAGGAGAGGAAAAATGAAAAATATCTTACACAGTTCCATGCAATAACAAACTTCACAGATTACCATGAAGAATTCCTGCTACTCTAAACCATCCCAAAAGCCACCCCCTCCCATCTCCTGCAAAGATGAATAATAGGCCCTGACAGTATAGCTTGTTTGGGTGTTGTCCCGCAAAGCAAAAGGCCACCGGTTCGATTCCCAGTCAGGACACATGCCTGGGATATAGGCCCAGTCCATGGTCAGGGCGTGTGTAAGAGGCAACCGATCAATGTTTCTCTCTCCTTTCTCCTCCCTTCCCTTCTCTCTCAGAATAAATAAATAAAATCTTTTTAAAAAAAGACTTCTGAAAAAAAAAAGGGCGAATAACAGCATTAATAACATCAGTAGAACAACAAAACAAACAAATAAACACACCACAAGGAGAAAACAGAAGAGCAAAATACAATGCCGGCAAAGGAACAGATGAAAACTGAGACTACAATTAATTAATAAAAGAAAATCTTAATGAATCCTACCACAAAGTAAAATCTGAAGTAACATACAGTAAGAGAAGAAAAGATGTTTCATGAATTAGCAGAATTTGACAAAGAGCTGGAAGAAAATGAACTTTCATTAGAAGCAACATAAAAAATAAACATCATTATCTTGTGAACTTAGGGACAAAAGGCTAAATAAAAAGAATTAGAGAGGAAATAATATAGACAGAAAGAGATGAAGGAGATCCAGTATGACTGGTTTGAAGTAGATAACTGCAATGGAAAAGAAAAAGTTTCAGACACAACTGTCAAAAATTTTCCAAAAATAAAAAACATATTCATAGGTAAAAGAACACTCAGGAAAAAATTATCAAAACTATCCGTACTGAATATATCCTAATAAAGGTTGTGCTTTCAAATTAAAGAGCAATGCTTTTGGGAAAAAAGAAAAAATCATGTATAAAAGGAAAAAAAGTAGGCCAGACTCAGATCTCCTCAGTGTTGAATGCTAAGAATTCTCAAGGAAAGAAATATGATCCAAAAATTTTATGCTCAGCCAAACTATTCTTAAAAATTTAAAGGCAATAGAAAAAAAACCCAAACCAAACCCAAACTTATAGAGTAATAAGAACTCAGGGAATATACTGTATTTTGCCATGTATAATGAACACTTTTTTGCCCAAATTTTTGAGGGAAAAATAAGGATGCACATTATACATGGGTAGTACTAATTCTGTATCTATAAAAATATTTTAAAATCTTTTATTTATGCTTAGGTACTAAAGTATAACTCTAGAAAGCAATAATGATATACGGATGCAAAACAATACCCCAGAATGCAACTGGTTTTGTTTCAAAATTAAATAAAAAATTGAATTAAAAAATTAAAACGAAAGATATTTTTCCTGACAGTTTGAGCCAAAAATGTGGGTACGCACGATAAATGAGAGCACATGGCAAAATAGGGTAGTTTCCAAAGTCTTTCTTGAAGAAAATTCCAAAAAGTTTGGTTAACCACAAAGCAAATGGAGAAATTGTAGCCAAAGGACTGATGGTGAGCACTGACTCCATTTTACTACAGGTCTAAGACTACTCCAGATACTGGATTTATGGTTACAGAACAGTAGGTAAATATTATAAATCCTGAAAATGTAGAAATAAAAGTATCAAAAGCTGGGATGGAAGAGGAAGCAAAGATCAATGGTACTATATAAACACACTGATACTCTTATTTTTCATATCCAGGAGTCAAAATATAGTAATTCAAAGCTGATGATTCAAGTTATAGAGATACAGGTATATTCAGAGATAGGTTGATGGCAAAAAGTATAAGGAAAAAACACAGTGATAGAAGATACATCATTTTATAGTCATTAAAAAGACTGAGGCAGCTTTATAAATGTCTCATATTGATATATTCTTAAGATATAATAAGTAAAATATTTTTTAAAAACTAGGGATATAATTGTAGGTACAGAGCTACTTTAGAATGAAAGGGAAGTTCTTTGGAAAAGAAAATGTTTGTTTTTAGCTTTAAACTTAAGAACAAATGTTAACTGCTTTTATTCCAATTTCATATACTCACCAGTATAAATAGAGGCTTCTCTAGCAGCCACAGGCATGTTGGAGGTATTGGCTACCAAAGCTGTCCTCTTCATAATTGACTCCACCTTACCATCAACTTCCATTGTAAGCTAGAGGCAAACATCTATTAGTGATCCTCTAATTTCTAAATAGAACATTGTATTCTTTTTTACAACTTGTCTATATTTAATCTCTCTTCTAATCAGTGTTGGCAAAGTAATATTCCCAATCATTCTAACCTCTTTTCCCTGTCCCACTGTGCTGTAAAAACACAATACCCATTATTTCCATTTCCTATATAAAATCCATTATTTTATGGAAAAAGGAATATTACTACAGTAACCTAGTAAATCATATAAAGCCTATTGTCTATTTTATCTTTCTCCCAATTACTGAAAACCACCAGAGCACAAAAAGAAACTTTCAAGTGTCGGGCTAAAAAACTCAAATTCCTTTCCTTGAATATACAAATTGAATCACAAATATAATTAGAAAATTTCTTAAAAGACCCTTGACGAATGAGGGCAATGCTCCAGATCTGAACACAAAGCAGTATTAGTTGCCAGTGAAAGGTGATTAGTAATATTTTCTCTAAGATTTATTTGAAACCCTACAGATACAGACCTCTGGAAAGTCACGGAGGACTTCAGACATCTCATTTCCTCTCTCACCACATCCTACATAGATGATTACATCACTGTTGGAATACTTGGATAGCGACTGCGATATCACTGTCTTTCCACAGCCAAAAGCCCCAGGGATTGCAGTAGTTCCTCCCTGCACACATCTAATCAAAGAAAACAAAGTGTGAATTACTTTACTGGCTAATAAATACTAGTAAATTAAACAGGTAAGTGGCACAGAAATGTAAGTTAAAGCACTTTGAAATATTTTCATCTGTATCTATAAATATACATAGATATATTGCTCCCCTGATTTGTACCTATAATAATGTTTCTTTTCTAAATCACTAATCATCCATCTCTATCATCTTTAATAGCTGAAAAATGAAAGCATATTCCACAAGATACCTTAGGAAGAGGGATACAAAAAAATAAGATAAATAAAATTAGTTCATGAAAGGACAATATATGAATTAAAGCTAAAATAAAAATATAAACAACTTTTGAAAGTTGTCTCCTGAGGAAGAAAAAAATAAAACCTAAAATTCCAATCATGTGAATGAACAAAGACTTTTGGCAAAATGTGAAGTCAATCCCCTTTCATCCATCCAATATCTATTTACACAGTATTTCCTGGGCACTAAAAACTGTGCTTGGAAATGTGAGAAAGACAACAGTCAATAAGATAACCATATTTCTGTACTCAGAGTGCTCACATTCCAGTGGGGTAAACTGCCGTCAGTTGGTGATTACAGTACTATTTAGCAGCTATTTTCCAACTTTCCCTAAAAAGTAGCAGTGGAGCCCTGGCTCGTATGGCTCAGGGGATTGAGTGCCAACCTGAGAACCAAATGGTTACTGGTTCAATTCCCAGTCAGAGCACATGCCTGGGTTGCGGGTCAGGCCCTCAGTAGGGGATGCACAAGAGGCAACCACACATTGATGTTTCTCTCCCTCTCTTCCCCCCTCCTTCCCTAAAAAATAAATAAATAAAATCTTAAAAAAAAACAAAACAAAACAAAAAACAGTGGCAGTGGAGAGTGCAGAGGAAAGTAAATGTTGCAGTATGTGTATGTGTGGGCCTGGAGGGTATGGGCAGGAGAAATGAAACTTAACACTAAGGGGAATTTCTTTGTTAATATTGTGCTTTGTCATAAAAATTCAGTAAAACATTGCATCCTTAGTAAGATTTAGTAAGACTTTTTTCCAATATAAAATAACAAGCCTTAAAATCTTTTCTCCTCCAAACCTTTCAGTGACTGATAAATTGACAAGGCATGCCCACTCATCCTATGGCTTTATGTACCTCTTTCAAATCACTATTAACCTGGGGAGGGGAGGCTGGGCTAAGTGTGCCTCAGTATGGAAGCTTAGTAATCCAATGTGAAAAGTGCTACCATAGAAAACAACCAAAGTGTTGTGGGAGTACACAGGAAGGAACACAAGGTCTAATAATGGATTGGAGTGGGGTTAGGAAAGTCTCCCAGAAAGAAGCTGAGACCTGAAGACCTGAAAGGAAACATATTAGCCAGATAAAGTCAAGTCACATTTTCAACAGAGGGAACAGCATGGCCAAAGACTGAAGAGGGAGCATTGCTTGAGAAATGGATAGCCCTCAGTATGCCTGGAAGATGGTATAGAAGGAAGCAGCTGAGAAGTTAAGTGGCTGAGACAATATTGAAAGGTAAGCAATGGCCACACTATGGGTGGTTATGTAAGGAGTTAAGGAGTATGTATTTAAAAGTAATGAAGAACACTTAAGGATTTCAAATGAAATGGTGCAGGATCAGGCATGTGCTTTAAATGGGTCACTATGTAATATGGACAACTACTTAGAAAGAAGGCAAGACTGGAGATGGTAAGTCTGATTAAATGTGATTAGGCTAAGGAATTACCCTAAGGAATTAGGGTAAGAGCCTTAAGTAGGATCATGGAGTAGGGATGAAAGATGTAGATAAAAAATATTTAGGAAACAGAATAAAAGCATTTCAATAATTAGATGTGGAAGGGTAAGAAAAATCCTTGAGAGAAATAACAGATTTTAGATTAGGCATTCATTGGATGGATGAGAATGACATTTGTTGAGAGCAGCAACAAAGAAAGATGAGCAAGTTTCAAGGAATGAAGTGGTGATTAAGATGATTATTTTAGTTTTGAACATACTGACTCTGAGGCATCTGTAGGATACTCAAAAGGAGAGATATAATCAGAAGTATTTTATATATGAGTCTGGAACTCATAAGAAATTTGGGATGAAGAAGCAGATTTTGGAGTCCTCATATATAGAGATGAATATTAAAGTCATGAGAGTGGATGAAGTCATCCACAGAAGGTAAGATACATAATGATGAGAAAGAAGGCCCTAAAAGAGGACAAACTCTAAGAAATATAAAAATTAAGGGAGAATAAAACTGCAACGAAGAATTAGAATTTGTGGACAGAAGCTAACAGGAAGAACAAAGAAACAATGTGTTTCAAGGAGGAATAAGTAGAAAGAAATATCTAACATTATAGGAATCAAGAACATACTAAAACTTATTTTTTGAATTATCAGCATGGGAGCGACTTAGTGAGAGTAGTTTCAACTGAGCGGTGGAGCAGAGTAAGTATGGTGAATTAGAGTGGGAAAAGTGGAAACAACTACTCATTCCTTCCACAGGTGTGGTTGTGAAAATGAGGAAATTGTGGAAGGGGAAAAGGGGAAAAGGGTAAAATGATAGGTTCCTGTGTCTCCCCCCACCTCCCCCTACCCCTTAGGCAATAAAGGAAAGATAACTGACAGAGGGAGGTCTCTGAGGAGACAAGAGGCAGAATAAGCTCCAGAAAGAGACAAAGAAGGGATGAACAGGAATGGATGTTAAGTCAGCCTGGTGGCAGGAAACTGAGGGAGTTCCAAATCTAATGGTCTCTAATTTCTCTGACGGACCTAGTACAATCATTTGTTGAGAATACAGGAGAAACAAGAGTGAAGTTGAAGATCTGAGGGAAGTGGAGAGGCTTCTAATGGAATCAGGAGAATGATGATTAGGGGATTGTAGCAGGATTGCTATGCTGCAACAAGATTATCATCTTATTTTCTTTTCTTAGCAACCTGTGTATTTACTTGGGAGAAGGAGATAACTGAACTGATTCATAGTTGAAATTTCACTAGGTAGATGTGGCAGAAGACAATGGAACAATAAAGTTTAATATACTAGCAAATATTTTTAAAAGTGATAGGTTATTAAATTTAAGATGAACAGTGAAGGATACAGAAATACGAGGTGCTGACTAATAAGAATGAGAGAGTAACAGAACAATTCCAAGAGTAGGACTGAAGGGTTAGAGGCTGAAGGCTAAGTGGGGGATATATATGGGTTTGGTGGTTAGAGGCTGAGGGAGTTACTGTATCACAGATTCAGTCTTTTCTGTGAAATTAAATGAAGTCATTTATTGAAAGTAAAGCAGGGTATGATAAAAGCTGAGATTTAATGAGAAAGGAGGTTTTTGAGTAGTTGATGAAGAAAATGGCAAAAAGCAGATTGCTGGGAAGCAGAGAAAGCCCCGTTTATTGTAACAATTGTCAATGTATAGCGGCACCAATCTACTAATTCTAGGATAACTTAAGAAAAAGCACTGGCGATATATACATGTATTTAACTAATTCAATATTATTTCTCTCAATAAATTTTTTAAAAAGACTTTTTATTTATTTATTTTTATAGAGAGCGGGAAGAAGGGAGATCTAGGATAACTTAAGAAAACACTGGCAATATATAAATGTATTTAATTAATTCACTATTATTTCTCTAGATAATTTTTTTAAAAGACTTTATTTTTAGAGAGAGAGGAAGACATGGAGGGAGAAAGACAGGGAAAGAAACATTGATGTGTGAGAGAAACATTGATCAGTTGCCTCTTGTACACACACTGACTGGGGACACCAAATCCACAACCCAGGCATGTGCCTTGACAGGAAATCGAACCAGCAACCTTTTGCTTTGTGGGCTAATGCCCAACCAACTGAGCCACACCGGTCAGGGCTCTAGATAAAACTTATTATAGGCTAGCACATAAAACCTTTACCTATAAAAAGTGAAACAATAAGCATATACAATGACTGAGTGAAAACTGGGACACAGCTCAAACTTACGGGAAAAGGGCATCAAGGACTCTCTGGCCAGTCAACAAAGGATGATTAGCTGGCAGCTTCTCAGTGACAGGTCGAACTTGACGTACAGGCCATACCTGGACCATGCTGAACTTCTCCTTTATACCTTCAAATTCAAGCTCCAAGACAACATCCTATAAAAATACATCAGGGTTTGACGTACAGTCACATTTATGAATATTTACTCCTCTAAAATTAACATAATTGCTGATTTTTTCTGTGGGTAGAGAAGTGTTATGTGGAAGTGGGGAGGGAGATTCATATTTTTTATTGTAAACCTTTATATTCAGTTCTAACTTTTAAAATCAGGTGTGATTATTGTCTTAATTATTAAAAACAGTTTAGGAGTTTCTGAGAATGAGGCATCTCAAGTAACAGAGCAATAGGTAAATTATGTGGATAAACATAGGGAGAAATTTTGAAGGATAAAGAAGATACCCCTGGGACTGAGAGGAAAAATAAATGTCTCCACAAATTACTTTCTATTCTTTGTTTATTTTACTTTATTATAATGCTCCTATACTGCTTTAAAGAAAAACACATCTATTAAAGAACCCTAAAATATTTAATAAGTTTAAATATTTACAAAAGCAAAAAGATGAGTAATACTCTTATATTTATGAATACTGGCATGATTTCAACTATTCAAAAGCAATCCCAAAGTCTACACACCTAGAGAAATTTTGTTGATACATGAGCCACATGAGAATTGTTTTTCCACACGAGAGAATGAGTCTCTAAACTAGTGAGTTAAGGCTAACTGCCCAGAATCCCAATCTTAATTCTTATTCTCTGTTATAGCACACAGACTTATTCTTCTGAAATATTAGAAAATTATCTTTCATCACATTTTATTGGGAAAAATGGTATGTTACAATGGTCTTCTCAATAGTTATCTTCACATCCACAAAGACTGTTAGGAATCTAGTGTATTTTAATGATGCAACTATCAATAACATTAAAGGATTAAGTTTTAATCCTTTAAATGGCTCAACCAAGAATTCACATACTATAGTCCATTATGCAATGTTAGGCAGGATAGATAATAAACCAAGGCAAGGAGGGGGAGGGAGACATGTCTCACTCATTAACCCAACAGTCCTGGGCCTGGTCCAGTAAGACTACCAGGTATTCTGAAAATCGGAAGAAAAAGCATGACGGTTGAGGAGGAGAGGAGCCCCTAAAGTCCTCTATGTTTCCACTAGTTGGGAAAAGACAGCCTTTGAAACTGTGTATTCATCCCAAAGTCTGGAGGGGAGCAGGAAGGGAAAACTAGAAGCTGGCTACAAGCATAAAACCCTTAAGATCCTAATAGTTGAGGCACTCAGACTAGCTGGGTGCCGGCTTGCAGCTTTGTGCTGAAGTGTGTTTCATAAATAAACTAACCTAATTTCCAATATATGTGTTGCTTCTTGCTTGAATTCTTCTGTTGTGATCAAGGCAAGAACTGAGGAGGGGGAGCCCCCTAACTCAGGTCTCTCTTGTGACAGTTATCTTCATACCATAAAGACTATTAGGGATTTAGTGTATTGATATGATGTAACTATCAATAATACTAAAGGGCTAAGTTTTAAATGACTCATCCAAGAATTCATAAACCATAATTCATCATGCAACTAATCATGTGACTAGAGACTGACAATTAAAATCAGAGTATATTCTATGTCTAAAGAATCACGACTTTAAATAATGTAGCATAAGTTAACCAGATAGGAAAATATTGTACTAGATATTCCTCTCTTGTACTCCTGAACCTAATACAATATTATATGCCAACCATCTTGAACAATTTTTTTTAAAACCATGTTTCTGTATTTCAAGCCCAAGTTTAAATTTAAAAAAGTTAAATAAAAAAATACTATGAATATTACTTAAAACCTACACTTTAAATAACAATTCTATAACTAGGGCACTAAAACTGGGCAACTAGCATATTTGAGTAAGGGCCACCCTTTGAGGTAAAGTTTTTATGATACTTACAGAGGTATCGTAATTTCCAGGTGGAGCTATGTAAGTTACAGTTCCTCTGTTTCTTGGGGGTAACATGATTTTGTGTTTGATGAGTGAATTCTCATTGACAATTCCATAAATATCTCCACCAGTGATGTGACTACCAACCTAGAGAACACATGCGTTTGTTGTTTAATGTCCAAAGAAACATGAAGTAGACGCAACCTTATTATTAAATCATTTATTCAAATCATTTGTCTCACTTACTAATAAAACATACTAGTTCTATAATCCTAGTGGATTTAAAGAACAATTTAAGCTATGCTTCTATGGTCTATTTTTCTTTGAACTAAGAGTGTACAATAATTCACTAAATCTCCATTTCATACTTTCATGAACTTTAGAAATCTTGGTTACAAGACATACCCGTAGGTTTTTGCAAGGTGTAAAATCCCATTTGATATCTCTGCTAAGAGCAGACACATTCACACCTCGGGGAATGTAGATACTTTGGGTCTGACTGCTGATATCCGACAAAGGTCTTTGAATACCATCAAAAATGGCTCCCATAATGCCAGGACCAAGCTCTACTGAGAGCGGTTTACCAGTGCGGAGTACAGGATCTCCAACAGACACACCAGCTAGAAAGAGCAGTTGAGGAAAACTCACTATTAAAGTTTAGAGATACTGTAAAAAGGAAATACAACAAACTTCCTCACTTCACAACATCCTTAGTGTTTTAGTGACTTTTTCGTAGTGACCTATGACAAAACTCCTGTCTAGTAATTCCATTTATTAGTTTGATGTCCAAACAACTTAATAAATATATATGTCCAAACGACTGAGGAGCACTTTGAAAAATACACAAAGAAAACAATATATTTTAATTTCATTCTTAAATAACCTCAGTTCTTACAAATGGGACATATGTGCCTGTCAGGCATTTTACAGTTATCAAACCTTGGAATCAGACTGAATACCTGATCCATATTCATTTATACATAATACTTGCTTTTTAGCTTAGTGATCACCAAAAACCCAGCTTTGTAAACACATGACATCATCAACAACAATACAGTGTAGCCAAGTAATGAAACTGTTTATTATCCCAAGCTGCTAGATCACACTGTGTCTGACAAGATTTCTAATATTCTTGTGTTAACCTCAAAAATTTAAAATATCCTGGGGCGCACAGGAGTTTGCTGCAGCTGCCCAGAGTGCTTTGGTGCAGTGTGGTAAACCACAGAACTAGAAATAGAAGCAAAATCCTCTCCTTAATACACTGTTTCATTATACAACTACTCAAGAACATCAGTCCCCTAAAAAGGATATGAGTACCTAAGAAAACCTTAAAATCTTAAGAATTAAAAAGTGGGGTTAAAAAGGAAAAGAATAAAACCTGCAAATAAACACTGAATTCCCGCTGCTCATTTACTTGTTCATAGGAGTAAAATCAATACAACTTTTATTGAAAATTTAGCAATATCTATTACAATTAAAATGCATAAACCTTGGCCTAAAAATCCAACTTCTGTGAATTCATTCTATTTATATGTAATACTGTTTAAGAATAAATGACTAGAAACAACTAAAATTTCTATCATTAAGAGAGTGATTAATAAATTATGTATATTCATATGATGAAATTCTATGTATCTTAAAAAAGAAATAGGAGCTTCTATGAATTGTTCTAGAAAGGTCTCCAAAATATATTTTCATTTCTAATATTTTATTCAAGAAATTTTAAGCCTAGAGCACAGTTCAATTTTACTGTGAACTCCATCCACTAGTCAGATTCTACTATTAACATTTTACTATATTTATCACATACCTATACATTTATTTCTAAGTGCATATAATATGCTTTTAGGAAAAAAGGGAAGAGAAATACATATTTATACTGGTTCATATATGCAGTTAACAAACCAGATGGATATAAAATAATAAAAAAAACTAATAAAAATGGCTGCATGCATGCATGCGTGTATTCTGAAAGCTGGCCAGATACAGGATGGCCAATGTGGGGCGGACTGTCACTGCGTACATGTTCATTGGTTTTAGATCTGCAAACCATGTAAAAGATTAAATAAAAGATAAAGGTAACAATAGAAAAAAATCCTTTTGACTAGGTATGATTTCATAGAGACAAAGTTTCCATTTTATTTAAATTTTTCAAATGACATTTTTTACCATTTTCAATTTTTCCATTACAGTTTATTTTCAGTATCATATTGTTATTTTATTATTTCGTTTTTTAATATTTTAGTTTATGCTATTATAGTTGTACCAATTTTTCTGCCTTTGCCCCCCTCAACCCCAGCCTGTCCCCACTTCCAGTCAATCCCCACACCATTGTCCATGCCCATGGGTCATGCATGCATGTTCTCTGACTAATCCCTTCACCTTCTTTCAATCAGTTCCCACCTCACCCCTCCCTCTTGCAGCTGTCAGTCTATTCCATGATTCTATGCCTTTGGTTCTATTTTGCTCATTAGTCTGTTTTGTCCCTGAGATTGCATTTACAAGTAAGATCATGTGGTATTTGTCTTTGACCGACTGTTTTACTTCACTTATCGCAATAGTCTCTAGTTCCATCCATGCTGTTGCAAAAGGTAGGAATTCCTTCTTTTTGTTTGTTTTTTTACTGTTTTCTAGTATTCCAATATGTAAATATACCAGTTTTTTAATCCACTCATTTATTGATGGGTACTTAGGCTGTTTCCAAATCTTGGCTTTGGTAAATAGCACAGCTTCATTTTTCAGATGAGTTTGTTTTGAATTAGCACCCCAGTACTCACACAGACAGAACAATTATTGGCAAGCAAGTATTTTATTATGGGAGAGGAGCAGAGATTTATTGTACCAAATAAATCTTAAATAGCCAAAGAATTAATGCTGATCTTGAGAACCAATCTAAGTAAAACATACAAATGAAACAGAAGGGAAAAAAAAAAGGTTTTTCTCAAGGCATATCCTTTTATCCCTTCGTTTTTTTATAGAAAATTGAAAATGCTATATTTAAAAGCCAAAATTATAGTAACCAAACAAATGGTAAAGACTTACAGTGCTAAAAGTATAATGTGACAGATCACACAGCCTTATTTATTAGGAAAAAAATTAAGTAGAGACTAATTTATTTATGGAATTACTATTTTAAACAGAAATGACTGGACAATTTTAACCATGCAAACTGATGCTGTTATTCTGTTTATGGTTTCTTCCACAATATGTCTCCCTCTAATTGGTTTCCGCTAATGTTTGTGAACTAATGAAATATTAAGGGTAATGAAAGTTCAAAAGATAATACTAATTTCTCTTTTATTTATTTTTAGAAAGAGGGGGAAGGTAGGAGAAAGAGAGGGAGAGAAATAGCAATCAGTTGCCTCTCACACGCCCCCTACTGGGGACCCGGTCTGCAACCCAAGCATATGCCCTGATCTGGAATCAAACCTTTCGGTTTACAGGCCAGTGCTCAATCTACTGAACCACAGCAGCCAGGGTGATAGAAGAGCACTAATTTCTTAAGGGCACTAATTCCTAGTAACTTTCTTCAATATCCTCCTATATAAACCAGATTTCTAATACCGACAGCTCATGTTTCTGTACTGCTGGTTGTTGCTGCTTCTACTTATGCCATAAATTCTTGAAATATGACTTGTAGCAAGTGGATGAATTTTGAACCAAAAAGGATACAGGTTTCTTCATACACCTGGATAGTAGCCATGTCACCCTCCAATCGGATAATCTCTCCCACCAACTCGCTGTGGCCCACTCTCACCAGCTCATACATGGCTGCACCTGCCATGTCACAGGCTGTAACGACTGAAAAGAACATTTGAGTATTGTGGTAACTTTAAGACACTGTGAATAGTTATAGATAATTAAAACTAGTAAATCCAATAAAACAGCTCTCTCATATATTCATAAGAAAAATAAAATATCCCCTATGGAACTACATATATAGTTTCACAAAAAGATGCAGTTTTAGAATATAATATATAGAGAAACTAAATTAGACTAAAGATTATTCATTTACATAATATACCCATAATAATCCATAATAACTCATAATATAAATATGGGTTTTAATCAACCCAGGTTGCTAAAATACATGAAATGATGGGCTTGGGGACAATAATAAAAACTTTAAAACTAAAATTGGAACAGAAACTTTGGCTAGTAGCATCACAGAATGCCACACAATCAGTTTGCTGTGTTGTCACCATCCCTTTGAGAGACAATATCTGAAACAACATCTTTACTTTCTAACACTTTTTATCAGTGGTTCTTAACTTCTGGGACAGGGACATTTTTCACAAACTAATGACAGTTCTTCCTAGAAAAACCTAGATGTACATATGCATCTACAAACTTTTTTTCATACACATTAGGGATATATATAAGCAGTTACCACCACTGGGTGAAGTCTTGACTAAAAATCCATAGTTCTTATCATTACTGAACCAGAATTTGTACTTACTACTTGGACTACGTTGTCTAGTACACCAAAGTTATTTTTCTGGCAGGGAAGGAAGGTTGCAAATTTTCAGAGAGGTATAGGAATAAATCTACGTTTAATATTTAGCCTTCTGCTATAATTGATTAGAGCTATGTATTAGGCAATATTGAAGTGAAAACTATTTCATTAACTTTTGTTAGAACAATGAAGATTTATTAATTTCATAAATATTTACCTCTATACTTACTATATAAGAATTAAGATGCACTGAAGTACCAGGAATAACTAAAATTTTAAATATTTCATAAATCAAAGGTATGCCATTTCTTTATCCTATTAAGTACTTAAGGATTATAAATAGGTTTCAGGAATTTACAAGTTTCAGACAAATATTTTTACCTAAACTCTTTTTTCTTAGTGAGAAATATTTTATTTTTAGAGAGAGAGGGGAAGGGTGACAGAGGGAGAGAAACACCCATTGGTTGCCTCTCATATGTGCCCTGAGGGGGTATCAATAATGTAGGCATGTGCCCTGACCAGGAATCAATCAGCAACCCCTCATTCTGCTGAGCCACACCTAACCTCTTTTTTTATTAAGATTTTTTTTTTTATTTTGAGAGGGGAAGGGAAGGAGAAAAAGAGAGAAACAGATATCAATGTGCGGCTGCATTTGGAGTGCCCCACATTTAAAATTATTTAAAATACAGAAGTAGCCCAAGATTTCACAAAATGAACATAAGCTTTAAAACTGCTTCCATTATCAGTGTCATAAGACTTCTCCTCCACAGCTAGTTGGTTATGTGATATTTGAAATTCCCATGCAGAAGGATTTACATAGGATTGATATTGCTGAGAAATGCTCTGAAAACATTAGTGCTCGAACCAAATTAACATATTTACTGAATACTTATAATTTACAAGGTATTACATACTAAAAACTATAAACTTTATAGCTTTTTAACCTCAGATTTAACAAAAAATAGGTAAAATTCTGAACAGTGATTACATATTTATGCAATAAATGTTATCACAAATTCTACCTCAATAATTATCAAATATAGATAATGAATGTTAGATGAGCCCTTATGATGGAGGTATTACCTCAGTCTTATATAGCAGTTATAAAGTGTTTTCTTTTTCCTCACCCTGAGGAAATTTTTCCATTGCTTTTTAGGGAAAGCGCGGGGAGGGGGCGGGCGGTAGAGGCTGGGGATGGGGAGAGAGGGAGAGTGAGAACGAGAGAGACAGAGAGAGAGAGAGAGAGAGAGAGAGAGAGAGAGAGAGAGAGATCAGTTGCCTCCTGGATGCACCTGGACCAGGGATGGAACCCGCAGTCTTTCAATGCAGGGGATGATGCTCCAACCAACTGAGCCACCCAGCCAGGGCTGCACTCATAAAATCTTTTGAGGACAAAATTTATGTAAGTGAATAGAAACTTGTATATTTCTACCTAAAATACCTTGAAAATACATTAACTAAAGTTAGGAATCTTTATCACTGAGATTATTATACATGACTTACCAGGTCCAGAGACCCCATGCACATAACCAAATGCACTTTCTTTATCTTCATCGAGTATTTTTGGTAGCTTGGAGAAATCCATCATGTTAAGTTACCTATGGTAAAAAAAAAATTGAGTTGTTATTACAAACCCTAAAGCAAAACCAATATGGGTAGTCAACTCTCATCTTCAGTGTATTTTTCAAGTAAAATATAAAATTCTTAAATTTGATTCAAAACACTTAATTCCTAGATGCTCTACAATTACAAAAATTCAGAATTATGTATCCCTATGAAAAGTATTCCCTAAAAAATACCAAGGAGTATAACAATGTGAAGTCTTCCCAGTGGTTTATCCATCCCTACATCCTGCCTTTCCCATTATCTCTGACATTCTCTTCATTTACTTTTCCCCATAGTACAGGGGAGGAAAAAATTAGGTTTACAGTTGTAATACAAATAAATAATACAATAATTAATAAGTAACATAAACTATTTCAGGTACTCACAACTGTAAACCTATTTTTGCCTACCCCTGTACACAATGAACTCTGCCATTCCTCAAAAACACATACACATTTCTGCCTCAGGGTCTTTGTACATGTTGCTCACTCAGCCTGGAGTACTCTTCTCACAGACATCTGCTCCTGTACCTCCTTCAGGTCTTTACTCAACTGTCCCCTACTTTAATGGGCTTCTCTGCCCACCTATTTAAAATCACAACTACCTCCCTTTTTCACTGCTTTACTTTTCACCATCTAACAAATTACATTTTGCTGGAGGCGTAGGTAGATACACTTTGCCTCCTTGCACAACTGAAAGGACAACAACAAATTCAAAAACAAAAAATAACCAGAACTGCCAGAAAATTGAACTGTATGGAAGTCTGGCAACCAAGGAACTAAAGAAGAAACATTCATCCAGACCGGCCGGAGGGGTGGAGAAGGGCAGCCAGGGCAAAGAGGTCGCCTGGCAAGGTGGAGGACCAAGCAGGTGAGGCAGCGGCTGGCATATCACATCTGTGTGCAGATGAACCAGGAGGAACAGCTGGGGAGTGAGACAGATTGTGCAATCCAGGGTTCCAGTGCAGGAAAAAGAAATCCTCAAACTCTCTGGAGGTAAAAACCTGTGGGGTTTTTTTGTAGCAGGAAGAACTCCCAGACTCACAGGAGAGTTTCTTGGAGAGACCCACAGGGTCCTAGAACGTCCATAAACAAGAGAGTTCCTTGGAGAGACCCACAGGGTCCTAGAATGTCCATAGACACACCCACCCAGGAATCAGCACCAGAAGGGCCCAATTTGCTCATGGGTAGCCGGGGGAAGTGACTGAAAGCTGGCTGAGAGCCGAGCAAGCAGCATTGTTCCCTCTCAGACCCCTCCATCACCCAGAATCAGTCACCACACAGGGACCTGGGTTGCTCCACCCTGGCGAATACCTAAGGCTCTGCCCCTCCCAACCTAACAGGAGAGCTGAGACAAAGAAGGATGGCCCAAATGAAAAAACAGATCAAAGCTCCAAAAACAGACCTAAAAGATCAACAGATAGCCAACCTATCAGATGCACAGTTCAGAACACTGGTAATCAGGATGCTCACTGAATTGGTTGAGTATGGTCGCAAAGTGGAGGAAAAAGCGAAGACTATACAAAATGAAATAAAGAAAAATATACCGGGAACCAATAGTAAGGGGACGGAAACCGGGACTCATATCAACGATCGGGAGAAGGAAGAGATAAACATGCAACTGGATCAGAATGAAGAAACAAGAAAAAAAATGAGGAGAGGATTAGGAATCTCTGGGACGGCTTTAAACGTTCCAATGTCTGAATCACTGGGGTGCCAGAAGGAGATGAGAAAGAGCAAGAAATTGAAAACTTATTTAAATTTCTTATTTTCTGTAATAATAATTATCTTCAATTCTTTATTGAAAAAGAATGAAGGAGAACTTCCCCAATCTGACCAGGAAATAAAATAGACTTCCAGGAGATCCAGGAATCTCAGAGTCCCAAAGAAGTTGGACCCAAGGAAGCACTCACCAAGGCACATTGTAACTAAGTTACCCAAGATTAAAGATAAGGAGAGAATCTAAAAAGCAGCAAGACAAAAGGAAACAGTTCCCTACAAAGGAGTTCCCTTAAGACTATCAGCTGATTTCTCAGAAGAAAGCTTGCAGGCAAGAAGGAGCTGGAAAGAAGTATTCAAAGTCATGAAAAGCAAGGACCTACATCCAAGATTACTCTATCCAGACAAGCTCTCATTTAGAATGGAAGGGCAGATAAAGTGCTTCCCAGATAAGGTCAAGTTAAAGTTCACCATCACCAAGCCCTTTTTATATGAATGTTAAAGGGACTTACCTAAGAAAAAGAATAAGAAAAAAAACTATAAACAGTAAAATGACAACAAACTCAGAAATACCAGCAACTGAACCTAAAGGAAATAAAAACAAAAACTAAGCAAACAACTAGAACAGGAACAGAATCACAGAAATGGAGATCAGAGTGGTGTGGGGGGGAAATGGGGGAAAAGGTAGAGGGAATAAGCAGCATAAACAGTAAGTACAAAATAGGCAGGGGGAGGTTAAGAAGAGTATAGGAAATGGAGAAGGCAAAGAACTTACGTGTACGACCCATGCACATGAACTAAGGAGGGGGAATGCTAGTGGAAGGGGGGTGGTGCAGGGCAGAGGGGAATAAAGAGGAGAAAAAAGTGGGACAACTGTATAGCATAATCAATAACATATATTAAGAAAACAAATTATATCTTACATTTAATTTTTTAATTATCCCTCTTTAAAAATTTTGAAAACATTTTTTTTGCTTTTCTCTTTTTAAGCAGAGCACAGAACAGTTTAAACAATTCAAGTCCAAATAGAAAATTGGTGGAATACCCGACAGTAGAAAGTTTATTTTTAACCACTGGTCTAACTTAATAATTACTGATGTTTAATAACGTAGGTAAAACACATGTACATATAAAAAGTTAAATAATGTCCCCCAAACCAACCATAAAATAGAAAATGACAGATCAGTAAGTAAGAAAGTGTTAAGTAATATAACTTACCTACTAAAACTTCAATGATTAGAATGTTTAGGGGAGATATGTTGAAGGTGTACAATTTGGAAAAAATAGAAAAAAAAAGGGTAGTAAAGACATTCCAAATGGGGAAATAACAAGAACAAAAGAATGGAGAGAAAATTTACAGGAAGTTAACAGACCAGCCTGACCAGAATAAACGGGTTACAATAGGACAAAAGTGAGAAATAATGATGCAAAGGTAGACAGCCTTCCTCGTGGGTCTTGAAATGAATGCCAAGTAGACTTGATTCTACAAACAATAGGAAATAACCAAAGATTGGAGAAGAACTTTTATGGGAAAAGTGATGTTTAGTTAATTTAACAGACTGAATTGAAAAGCTCTACAAATAGCTATGGCTTGAGTGTCAATGGAATTCAATTTATTAAATGTCTATTGAACTCCTACCAAGGAAAAGGAACTGGATTAAATGTAGGGAATCAGAGTTGTGAATAAAAGGAACTTTCACTGGCTTTAAACAACTGTACTTTGTAAAGCACAATGGCTTAAGTATTCAAAATGACCACACACTGAAAACTGAGGAGAAATGATTTGGATGTGGGAGAAGTGTTAATCCATGTGGATGAAGTAGAGAACACAGGTAGCTGTGAAGAACATTTTGAGATTTTTGAGGCTGACTGAGTTGAGTCCAGACACAAAGAATACACAAAGAGAGGAAAACCAAACCCTGAGCCTTGGGGATTAATTCTGGTGGGATGAAGAATGTTTTTCAGTCTTTTGAGAGCTATTGGAGGAGCAGTAGAACCATATATTCCATGGAACACAATTTGTAATCCATTAAACAAGATATCAAGAAATCGATGAGGTCCATTGATTGAAGATATCAAGAAATCGATGAGGTCGACACAACAATGAAGTCATTGACAGAGGACTTCTGGTTTGACATAGTAGTGCCATCAGAAGGGAGATGGTGGACAGGGCTAAAATTGAGTGATTAAAGAAACAGGCAGGAGTGAAAAAAAGATTAAAAACATGGAGATATGGGAGAGAAGTGAGTCAAATATGATCTAAGGAGCAGGAAAAATATCAAGAACTTGAAGATGATATTGGTGATGTTAGAAATAAAAAATAAACCAGATACCATGACAGTCACAAATATCACAATAAAGAACAAGGACAATGGGGGTGGGGGAGAGGACTGAATGTGGGGCAGGAGGTAGGCAGGGCAGGGGAGAGTAATGGGGGAAAAGCAGGGTCAACTGTAATTGAACAACAATAAAACAATTTAAAAAAATAAAGGTCACAAGGATTTTGGGATCCTCAGTAGGAAAATTCATTGGAAGGGCAGTTGAGAGAGGAAGTAACAAAAAGGGGAAACTGGTTTACCAGAATTTTCAGCTTCCTAAAGAAGGGGATAAGGATTAAGCAGGTATGGGACTGCAAAGACTAGAATGTAAAGAGATGAAAACAAGTTTTTCTAAAAACCACTTAGATAATAGGGAATAACCCCAAATCTTAGGGTCACTTATTTGAGAAATGGGTTGGGCAAAGTCTTCAAAGAAGTAGTGAACATGCAAATGAGGCCAAAGAAAAAAAAATTATCCTTACCTGAGGACATTTTTTCATTGCTTTTAGAGACAGAGAGAGAAATAGAGACACAGAGGGAAACACTGATGTGAGACAGAAACATCAATTGGCTTCCCAGACGTGCTCTGACTAGGAATTGAACCCGGGACCGTCTGGTCCAATGGACAATGTTCCAATCAACTGGGCTGCACTGCCCAGGGTGCAAATGTGGTCAAATTTTAAAATCAAAGATTTTGAAAGTCAGAAGAGAACCTGATAATCATATAGTCTAACTTCCTTCCCAAATATGGGTATTTCCTCCTTGGCGTTCATGATACATAGTCATCTGTCTATTAAAGTGGAAATGGCACATCATCTTGATTGAGTCAGCAGACTTGGGACACAGCTTATCTGGCCAGTCACATGCTACAAATTAAAATCTTTTAATAAGTTCATTTGTAAAGTAGGAATAATTCTTACCACCTACCTGAGTTGATTAAATTACAAATTTATTAAA